CAGACTTTTACTTACACTGTCTAGAGCAGTAGGCATTGAGGGCTATAGGCCATATAGACGTAATAGAGTGGGGGGAAAAAGGTGAGGGGAGCATTGCTTTCTATGTTAAGGAGCAATACACGTCTTCAATAATCAAATTGAAGGACTGGGTCAAAAGAAATCTCACCTGGTTCAATGAACTGCCTGTTCTCCAAGAGTCTGCGGAGTTCTGTCTGAAGGGTACCACATTTAGCATCAGATTCTTTTCAAGGCCTCTGTGGATTATACTATCTGGTTATCTTGATAACAATGAAGCAAGATTCATGGGGTAGTCATATATTTTATTGGTGCACCCTGTACAGCTGGGAGAAAGGTCAAACAAGCTTTTGGGCATCAAGTGCCCATCATCAAGTCTAGGAAAGAAACAGGGATTTTCCAAGCTAAATGTAAGTTAGAAAAATGGCTTTTATTTAATGTTATTATGTTAGTGATACGAGCACTTGAAAGGCAATTGGACAGTTATGACACGTGGAGGAAAGAGAAGTTAGCAGAGGGAGAGGTAAGAGACAACTTATCATGAGATATGTTATTATGGGGAACACATATGAGGCCCTGGCATCACTAGAGGAGAGTGCAGCAAAAGAAGCTGCATCCACAGCCACCACCATGCAGATTGAAGGACAACTGGATAAGCGGAAGAAGAGACACCGAGTCATCATGATGGGCGACTCCCTCCCAAGAGGAATGGAGGGAGTCTTCTGTAGGCTGGATCCCACAGTATGGGAGGTATGCTGTCTGCCCAGAGCCTGGATTCGGGACATCACTGTGAGGATTCCTGACCTCATCCGGCCCTCCAACTATTATCCCATGGTCCTCGTCCATGTGGGTACAAATGATACAGCCAGGAGTAGCTGAATCATGAGTGACTGCAAGGCTCTGGGGGCCAGGCTTAGGAGACTGGGGGTGCAGGTGGTCTTGTTGATCCTTCTGGCCAGAGGTCACAGCCAGCAGAGACAGCTGTATTAGAGAAGTCAACTTGCAGCTCCAGAGTTGGTGCCATCATGCAGGTTTTGGCTTCTTCAAGCATGATCCACACTTTCACGAAAGAAGCATGCTGGGACAAGACGGTCTCCATCTCTCTTCGAAAAGTAAGAATCTGTTCTCTTACAGGTTGGATGATCTCCTGCACAGGGCTTTAAATTAGGTGCACTGGGGGGATGAGGATGCAAAAGACAGAGGACACCTAAGAACAACAAACGACAAGCCATGCACTGGAACAGTCCACGTAAGTACTGAGGGGCCCGACAGGCATCAGGACAGGAGAGTACCAAGGGCACCTATCGGGTGACGTACGTGTCTCCATACTAATGCTAGAAGCATGGGGAACAAGCAGGAAGAACTCACACTCCTGCTTGCAAACAAAGACTTTGACCTGATTGAATTAACTGAAACCTGGTGGGACCCTACCCATGATTGAGCAGTAGGCATTGAGGGCTATAGGCCATATAGATGTAATAGAGTGGGGGAAAAAAGGTGGGGGGAACATCGCTTTCTATGTTAAGGAGCAATACACATTTTCAATAATCAAGATGGGATCAGAGAAGGGACAAATTGAGATACTGTGGGTCAGAATACAAGAGGGTCAGGGTAAAAGGGACTTGGTAGCAGGAGTCTATTACAGACCATCACACCAGGAGGATGAACTAGACCTGGAATTCTCAAGACAGCTCTCAGAGGCAGTACGCTCAAGGGACATGGTTGTCATGGGGGACCTTAACTGCCCTGACATCTGCTGGGAGGAGCAGTCAGCTAGATCCGACCGTTCACATAGGTTCTTAACCTGCATACAGGACCTTCACTTAATGCAGGAGGCATATGGTCCCACTAGGGGAAATGCCTTACTGGATTTGGTATTTGCTACAGGAGATGACCTGGTGGTAGATCTGCAGGTACAGGATAATCTAGGAGATCGTGACCACCAATTGTTAGAATTCACTATCCATCAAAAGGTGGGAAAGATAACCAGTAGGGCAGAAGTACTAGACTTCAGAAAGGCTAACTTCAATGAGCTCAGCAGGTTACTAAGTGAGGTGCTGAAAGACAAGGACCTTGGTAAGATGGGAGTCCAGGAAGGGTGGTTGTTCCTCAAGGGAACAATCCTTTGGGCACAGAGGGGGACAATCCCATTGCACATGAAGTGGGGCAAAGGGGCCAAGAAACCCTCTTGGCTGAACAGGGAAACCCAGGAAAGCCCAGGGATGAAAAAAAGAGGCCTACAGACTGGAAGCAGGGGGTAGCCACCAAGGATGAATATAATATACCTACTTGGCTTGCACTTGCAGGGAGTCAATTAGAAAGGCCAAGGCAGCAATGGAACTCAGGCTGGCAACAAAAATTAAAGACAACAAAAAGTCCTTCTTCAGGTATACAGGGAGCAAAAATAAGGGGCATGGTAACATAGGACCCCTACAGGACAGACTAGGGCAGGGGTTTTCAACCTTTTTTAGTCTAAGTACGCCCAGCGGCCAGAAGCCAAGCGGGGGGATAGGGGCAGAGCTTGTGGCCGGACACAGAGCAGGGAGGTGGAGACAATGCATGGGTGAGTGGGGACGGAGTGCCACTGCCTCCCAGGACCAAGGCCGGGGCAGGGCAGGGAAGCTCACTGGGCTAGGGGGAGGACAGTGGCGCCCCTCTGTGGGGCAGGGAAGCTCACTGGACTGGTGTGTGGTGGCGGCAGCTGCTGCGTGTGAGCTTCCCCACCCCACAAACAGGCACTACTGCCCCTGCCCTGCCTTGACCTGGCCCTGCTCCTGGGAGGTGATGGCACTCCATCCCCACCCACCTGTACCCCCTAGGACCAGTCCAAGTATCCCCAGGGGTATGCATACCCCCGATTGACAACCCCTGGACTAGGGAAATTAGTGACAGATAGGAGGGACAAAGCTGAGCTCTTCAATGAGTTCTTTGCACCAGTATTCCTGAACACAGATAAAGACATATCTCCAAACTGGACTATAGACGAGCACAGAAGGGACACCAGCCTACCAACAGTTAGCATCAACCTTGTGAAGGGACACTTGGAGGGGCTTGATGTGTTTAATTCAGCAGGTCCAGATGATCTTCATCCAAGGGTGCTGAAAAAATTGGCCAGTGTCACAGCACAACCACTGACAAGAAAACACTCATGGCTCTCAGGACAAATCCCAGAGGACTGGAAAAGGGTCAATGTAGTCCCTATTTTCAAAAAGGGGTGGAAGGAGGATCCAGGTAACTATAGACCAGTTAGTCTCACCTCTATCCTTTGAAAAAATTATGAAGGATTATATTTGTGGGAGCCCAGCAGGAAAAATAATGCTGAAAGGCAACCAGCACGGATTCATAGCAGGGAGATCCTGCCTGACAAATCTTGTTTCTTTTTAAGAGCAGGTCACAAACTGCTTAAAAGCAGGAGTTGCAGTAGATGTAATATACTTAGATTTTTAAAAAGCCTTTGATACAGTGTCTCATCCCATTCTCATAAATAAACGAAGTGGCTGTGATGTAAATGATTACATGGTCAGGTGGGTGACGAATTGGCTTATGGGATGCATCCAGAGAGTGGTGGTGGACAGGTCGATACGAACCTGGAAAGATGTGGGCAATGGTGTCCCCCAAGGCTCAGTCCTTGGACTAGTGCTGTTCAATATCTTCATCAGTGACTTGGACGAGGGCATGGAGAGCACTCTGTCCAGATTCACAGATGTCACCAAATTATGGGGCAAAGCAAACACACTGGTGGACAGGGTGTGGATTCAAGTAGATTTGGTCAAGCTGGAAGATTGGGCAGAACAAAATAGGATGCAGTTTAACAAAGTGCAAAGTATTGCACCTTGGGAGAAGGAATCACCAACACTTACAGACTGGGAGATGATTTCCTAAGCAGGACAAGAGCAGAAAGGGATCTCGGAGTAATAGTTGACTCAAAGATGAACATGAGTCAACAATGTGATGAAGCAATCAATAGATCTAACCACACTCTTATCATGCATTAACAGGTGCATCACAAACAGGTCTAAGGTGATACTGCCCCTCTATGTGGCATTGGTAAGGCTGCAGCTGGAGTACTGCATCCAGTTTTGGGCACTGTACTTCAAGAGGGGTGTAGATAGCCTTGAGAAGGTCCAGAGGATGGCCACTTGTATGGCTAGGGGCCTGCAGGTAAGTTCCTACAAGGAGAGATCAAGTGACCTGGATATCTTCAGCCTCTGCAAAAGAAGGCTGAGAGGTGAGCTAGTGGCCATCTACAAATTCGCCAGGGGTGTGGGGGACAGCAAGGAATAGGAGATACTTTATTTACCAAGGCACCCCTTGGAGTAATTAGAAACAATGGCCACAAACTGGCAGAGAGCAGATTTAGATTAGGCATTAGGAAGAACTTCTTTACAGTAAGCGTTACCAGGATCTGGAATGAGCTTCCAAGGGAGGTGGTGCTCTCTACTACCTTGGAAGTCTTTAAGAGGAGACTGGACAAGTACCTGGCTGCGGTCGTCTGACCCCAGCACTTTCCTGCCCAGGGCAGGGAGTTGGACTCGATCTACTAAGGTCCCTTCCGACCCTAAAAATCTATGAAATCTATGAGCCATAAAACCACTGCCTGCTAAGTCCATGGTTTTTGGCATCCAGACAGTATTTATATTCACCAGCCATTTTCCAATAACAAGAACCAAAAAAAAAAAAAATCCCATGTGGTGCAGTCACATGCAAAGTGGTATCTTTAGCAGGAGACTTGACGCTGCTGAATGAGTGCCATCTTAAACTGTGAAGAGCAAGGAGGATAGATGGAGTTAGAGACCTACCTCCATGACTAGCTTGATTCTGCCATGGAATTTGATGGCAATGAGGGTAAAGTAGTTCTCTCCAGCTGGGCATTCATAAATTGTAAGGGGCTGGAAGGGACTTTGCAAGACCATTGGATCCAGCCCCCCTGCACTAGGCAGGAAAGACAACTGGGGTCAGGTGACCCCAGCAAGGTCACGGTCCAGCCTCTGCTTGAAGATTTCCGGAGTAGGTGATTGCACCACCTCTAGAGGGAGTTTATTCCGCAGTCAGGGCATTGGCTGAGCATCATCCATTCATCTTAAAGAAGTACCTGCTCAAAGCCATATTTCTCAATAGACTTCTGCAAATTTTTTAAAAGAATCCCCCAAGGTTTAAGTAGGTAAAGATTCCCCAAATAAGAAGCCTGCATTGATTATATTGGCAAACTTGTAGCATAAGTATGTCAAAGGATGAACAACATTCCCCACCTCTGCCGACTCATTTCACTTCAGAGCAAAGGAGCAGCTGTGTTTTATTCCAGTCTTGAAATGTTCTTTGTTGTTTTCTGATGTTATCTTGTAGTCTGTGGGAATCAATGTCATTTGATAAAGGCTGAACTGTTGTTTTGCGTCTTCTCCCATCATTAGCATTCTCAGCAGCTGGTAAAAGCTACACTTGAAATGCATGAAGGAGCTAGAGATGCTTTTAAATGTTCTTGAACAGTCATTGAAATTAGAAAGGCTAGTTACAGAAGGGCTCTACAGCACTAGTGAAAGCTGCAGCCCTCTGAACTGTTCCCAATAGCAATAGCATAAGGGACCACTGACTCAGTAGTAGCACACATACCATTGTGCTGTGAACTTCTGCAGTAATGATGGAAGCACCCACAATTTTATCATAATTGTCACAGGATGGGGTCCCTAAGGATGGCCGTGTTACCCCTAAGGCCCCCTTGACCATGCCAATTTGGCCCGATGGGCACCCTCTATTCTCGCCCGCCACGTCTTTTTGTATTTTTGTAATATAGGGAGGCTGCCTTCATGTCCTGTTGGACACAGTCTTGATGGATTTCCCTGAACCCTGTGGGTCCCATTTCAAAATGGGTGTTTCAGGGCACCCTAACCTTATGGGCTGTGTGTGGCTCCAGCTGCCCCTTTACAACGCCCCAAGTCTCGCAGATGCTACCGACATTATCCGGTCTAGGCTTTGTTGTAATGTTGCCCCCTTGTCCTGCTTGGTCTCACCCTACGCTGGGGTCTGTGCATCCCAAATGCCGTACCCTCTCTGGCACCAGGGTCCCCACGCTGCAGTGGGCCCCCAATGAGGCCTCCTCCTTCCACCAAATAGCCTCACCCAAACCACTGGTCTTATAAACAAAAATCAACCTGCAAGCCCCCAGGCTATAACAAACTCCTGGGTAAGCTTTTTGAGAGAATTATCATAGCGCATGTCCATGAGGGGCCAGCAGAGGAGATTATGCTTAGGGGCAACCAACACGGGTTCATTAGAGGCAGATCCTGTCAGACCAACCTGATGGCCTTCTATGACCAGGTCACAAAATCCTTAGATGCAGGGGTAGCAGTGGATGTAGTCTTTCTGGACTTTAGGAAGGCCTTCGACACTGTCTCTCACCCCATTCTCATTAAAAAACTAGGGGACTGTGGCGTCGACACCTACAGTCAAATGGGTCACTAACTGGCTGGAGGGCCGCACCCAGAGTGGTGGTGGATGGGTTATTTTTGACCTGGTGGGATGTGGTCAGGTAACTGGTCAGGCTGCAGTTGCAGTACTGCATCCAGTTCTGGGCACCGCACTTCAGGAGGGATGTGGACAACATGGAGAGGGTCCAGAGGAGGGACACTTGCATGATCAGGGGGCAACAGGGCAGGCCCTACAAGGAGAGGCTACGGGACCTGAACCCATTCAGCCTCCACAAGAGAAGGCTGAGAAGGGATCTGATGGGCGTTTACAAACTAGTCAGAGGGGACCAACAGGCACTGGGGGAGTCCCTGTTCCCCTGAGCACTTCCAGGAGTGACAAGAAATAACGGTCACAAGCTGGCAGAGGGTAGATTCAGACTAGACATCAGGAGGCACTACTTCACTATCAGGGTGGCTAGGATCTGGAACCAACTTCCAAGCAAAGTGGTGCTGGCTCTTACCCTGGGGGTCTTTAAGAGGAGGCTAGATGAACACCTTGCTGGGGTTGTTTGACCCCAGTACTCTTTCCTGCCATGGCAGGGGGTCAGACTGGATGATCTGTCAAGGTCTCTTCTGACCCTACAAACTATGAAACTCAAGCCACCCAGCTACAACATCACTCGAGCCACACAGGGGGTACTCTATCCCTCAACAGTACCAGAAGCTGCACCTGCAGTCAGGCCTCTTCCCTTTACTTCCTCTGGGAGAGCTCCTTCCCCCTTGGGTGCTGGCAGAGATCTACTCTCCTGGACTCTGGCCTGGGGCTTATATACGAGCCAGGCCCTGCCCCTTCTGGTCAGCTGACTGCTGGCAGGTGTGGGCCTGCTAGCTCGTTCTGGCTGCCCTGGTAACCAGCAGCTAGGGTTCCTAACTCACTGGTAGGGCTCTCCCCCTAGCAGCTCCAGGCCTTAAAAGGAGCAGGATACCCTAGTGGCCTGTGACAATAATACCAGCGCCATGGGATTGTGAGCTTCCTCTGCAGCAGTGGCACAAGTGTTTGACAGCTCTGCAATAAGACCAGAATACAAAGGGGTGAATCAATATTACCCCTTTTCTTTCTGTCCCAGAGAGAAAGAGAAACCAGTCAATTTGTACTGATTCATTATTAGAGCAGCAATAATCATCACATACCAAGAATTAGCTCAGTTAATTATCAGACAACTAATTGGCAGGCCAGCCCAAGATCACCTATTGACTCCTGGTAGCCAAAGAGCATTATGAAGCATTATAGATTATGGAGAAGCCTGTTGCCTTCAATGAGGGCTGAAGGAATCACACCTCTAAAATTCAAGCCTTGAGTTTCTATCAGCAGAGTGACACAGGACTTCTCAAAAACTGATGCTGGCCTGAAGCAGAGGTGCCTTGCCTTACCATGCTTGTTTGGACCCTGAAAGAAGGGTCTGGCCTGACCCCTAAAAGTGGGCCTGGTCTCGACCAAGCAGCAGGTAACATCTTGTACCTGGAGGCCACTGCTGCTGGGTACTTCAGGGAAGGTCTGGTTATAACTGAACCCCAAGGAATCAGACAGTACAGCCTGGGTCTGCTGGGCTGACAGTCAGAGACCCACCTTCTTACCCATAAGCAGACACCATCTGGCAAAGGGCTCCCCATGCCAACAATATAGAGTACAGGGCTTTCCATGCCTTCAATGTAGAGATACTCTTCAAAATGTGGTACCACAGCTCTGGCCCTGCAATGCTGCCCTGGCCCCTGGAAGAGGAGATCTGAATGGACACACAGTAACTTTGCCATAAAGTGCCCCTTGGTCTTCTTGCATGGGTGGACAGTGCACAGCTCTCCAGAGCATGCCAGATGATACTTTGCAGAGCATGCCAGATGATGCTTTGCAGCTCTTTGCCCTTTCAGAGACATCAGGCATGTCTCAGCTAGTATTAAATTAAACTGCATCTGTGCCTTTGTACACGAGTAGCTCACTATTTAAGTGAGCCAACTCAAGGAGGAATGGGAACAGCAGATCCAGGATAGCAAAAAGGTGGAGTGACGGTGGAGAACACATTGCACGTGAGCTTACTGCACATGTGGCTGGCAGCTGGGATGAGCTCTCAGCAGTGACCTGGCGGGGGCAGTGTGGCTGCACCATTGTTCTGCCCTGGCACTAAATGATTAGTGTTGGCCTAATCATTTCTGCAAAACTCCTGGAAATGAGTTTTGCAGAAATGATTAGGCCAACACCAAAGGATCAAGCAAGGTGTGAGCATACTGAACAGCCAGATCACTAGGAGGGCAGGGTGACTGTTCTGAATGCTGTCATGATCCCTGGATTCAGCCTTTCCCCTGAACACTGTCATGGTCTTGGCACCAGCACTCCATACAATGGGACTTGCTCTCAAGCTGCTGAAAAGCCTCACATAGTCTCATCAGACTTTTGGTTGTCAAGTCACAGCCTACCAGTGGGCAAAACAGTCAGATATAGATCATGGGTGTGTCAAAGGGAAAGGAGGGGAAGAAACTTTGGGTTTCCTGTGTCGAGTAGGAAGGAAATGTATGGGCAAATGTCTCTTTGATGAAGAAGTGTAGCTAATGGACATGGTCCCCTCTGGTGCTGTTGTGTTGTTTTTTTACCTATTGTTATGGGGGTCACTGCTCAATAGCAACCAGCACCCACTCCCAAGAAACGTGGAAGAACAAAGAGTCACAATAGCATATGGAAGGTCCAGATACATCTGTAATATGCAAAGCGGGGGGCCTTGCTGACTGCCTCATTCACCTGCTACATGCCTTTGTTGAAAGGCCCCCGCTCATGTGTTTCCTCACTCCTCAACTGTAACAATGGGAACACTGTTTCCCAACCCCTCCTATTCAGTGGTGCCTACCCAGATCTCTAATCCGGTATATTTCTATCAAAGTCATCCCCAGGGCCTTGGAGACTATTTTTTAAAGCTACTTTTGTGGGGTTGGAGGCCTCAGTGAAAAGATGCTAATTTACTCTGGCTTAGTTTCTACTTATGTGATAAGAGCAGTAAGGTAACTAGGGTTTGGCAAGTAGGGCACAAACTAAGGGGGGCACTGGAATAGAGGCGGGGGGGTGCAAGTCTCTTGCCATGGGAAGTAGGGGCAGGAGTCCCCTTATAAGCCTCATTCCCTACTCACCCCTTCAATAGGAGGCACTGTTGAAGTACGGGAAGTGTCAAATGCACCCCCCTCCCCACCCCGTCACTGCTGAGAGCTCATCCCAGCGTTCCAGCACCCAGGAGGTTAGCACCACCCACTCTATAAACCCTGTTATGTCTGGGAACTGGTAATGGTGGAGGCTGCCAAGGTAGCAGGAGTGTGAGAGGGTCCACATACCCAGCAGCTGCCACGTTAACCCCACATCTGCTGGCCACGGGGACCCCTTCCTTTGGGTCCCTGTGGCCCAAAGGACCCCTTCCTTTGGGTTCCTTTGGGACCCCTTCCTTTGGGTCCCCCAACAGCAGCCATTCCTTGTTGGCCCAGGGAACAAACCCTACTGGGTAGGCCTCTGAGTAAGAGCATGCAGACAGCCAATAACTATGGAGCAGCTGACACACAATAAACCTACCCCATTTCACCCTATGATATATTGTTCATATGTCTATACCAGTGTATATTACTGGGTTCAAAACTGCTGTTCAGGCAAAGCCCTCTGTGTCATTGTAAGCAGCAAAAAGAAAACTTCAGCTAAGGGAACAGCAGAGTGATAACTGGAACCCTACACAGATAGAGTGTGAGGCTGCGTAAACAGCAAAATGAAAAACAACACTGAAAAGGCAGAAAAGCTTAGGACTGTTTGGTTTAGAGAGGAGAGAGGTGGGAGGAGAAATGCATGGAGGCATCAGGTAAGAACTAATAGTGATCTCAGATTTAATCTGTTGGAAGATAATCTTTTCTCACCTCTCTCAGGAAAGTGTTTGCTTTGTTTAGTGCAAACTAAACATTGATTTAAGCCTCTTCTGTTTCTCTCTAATTTGAAGCTGCTGTGCCATGAGCTGGTGTGTTATCCAGTGCTCCTGAGACGCAGAGGCTCTTTGCATCTCTCTCTGTCACTCTCCTTTTAAAAGAAAGAGACAAGGACATTCCCTCAAAAAGGAAAATGTGGTTTAAAAACATTGGTTTCCATGCAGATGGCACCTTCCCAGCAGGAACTCTTCTGAACAAAGGAGCATTCATTAATGTATCTTTCCTAACCCACACTCCCCATGTTCACTGACAGCCTCTGCCTTCTATAAATAATGCCATGTTCCCACATACCTCCACATAACACACCCACTGCATTCCTCACCAGAGCATTATAATGCAAAACCCCACAGCAACCACTTACCCCCCTGGGAAAACAATGCATTCTACAAATCACAGATGTCTAACAGGCATGCATGTTAATGCTACGGCTGTAAGAGTTAAGGGATTACCAGAAGGGAGAAGAGACACACTCCGGAACACCAGAGGAACCCTGCAGCTGGAGAGGGTGCTGAGCCAGGCCTGGTCTCAGGGCCTTGCAACCAATGCAATTGACTGGGTCCCAGGCCCTTGCCGAGCAGTTTCACAGCTGCGGTAGGGTTGCCTAGTAGGGCTGTGCAAATTTTTGCTGGCTGTTTCAACTCTGTTTCAATTTGTTTTAAGCTCAAAACAGCGAAATGGAAACAAAACAAAGGGCTTTGAAACAGCCTCCAAACAAAATGAGGGCAGTCGAAACGTTTTGGAAGTTTTGAAACATTTCGAGTTTCAAAGCTGAAGCTGGGCTTGCCTGCAGGGAAACAGAAAGTAAGGAGAGGGAGAGGGAGGAGGGAAAAGAGGGGATATTGACTGTGACTGTGACAGTTTGGCTGCCTGAGATGCTGCTGGTGCTACTTTGCTGCTTGCTAAGTTATTACCTGTTGTCATTTAAAGTGGTGGACCGGGCTGAGGCTGCAGGAGGCCTAACTGGGGCATACTACCATGTCGTGTAGAGCAGTGCTTCTCAAAGTGGTGGTGCGAGGCACCGGTTGCCGATCTGCAGCGAGTTGCCAGGAAAGAAAGAAATATATTTTCAGAAGCATAACATTGATATGTCATAGTGCCACAGTTCATATGTTCCAACACTCCAGGTGACGTCACGTTGTGCGAGGTGAGGAAAGAGAAAGAAACAGCCGGTTGTGCATTTGGGTAGCGCTGTTACATGCAGTTGCTGCCACCAGCTAAACTGGGCACTGAAAAAATTGCCGGCGTGCCACATCAGATAGCTTGAGAAGCACGCACGCACGCGCGCACACACCATGAGTTTTGCTTGTCAGCAGCTTAAGGTGCCATTTCCCAGAAAACCCTGCACCAATCTCCTTGAAACTCGGAAGGGTTCATGCTCTCAGAAGGGGCTACCATCCCTGCAAGTTTCATCCAAATCAAGCAAGAAATGACAAAGTTGTAGGCTGTTCCAGGCTTCCCCATTATAGCCTATGGGCAAAATGTTGAAACAGTTTTGATGGAAGCAAGGGAAGGAGCAGTGCTTTGAAATGAAACCAAAGGTTGAAACGAAACACTGTCCCGAAACGGAAGTCGAAACAGAAGGGTGCTGTTTCTCACAGCCCTATTTGCCTCGTAAAGAGTGGCGGCTTCCTGGTGAAACTCTCCCCCCAGGTGAACCCTGCCCCTGCTCTGATCTGTTACCACAGCACCTGCTCTGGCGCATTCGGGTCCTTCCCCCGCTGCTGCCCTACCAAGGCGAGCAAGGTCTCACCTGAACGGTGCGGGCGCCCCGCGCTCAGACCAGGCAGCCGGGGCCGGCGGATGAGCCCGTCTCGGGACCGGAAAGGCCCACCCCGAGGAGCCAAGCCCTGCAGGACCGTCGCTCTCCGGCGATCAAAAGAGCGAGCAGGGCAGGGCGCACCGCGGGGGGCCCCTGCCGCCCGCTCCCCCTCGTGCTACCAGCCAGCGGCTTTTCTCCAAACTTAGTAACGTGGCAGCTCGCGGCCGAGCCGGGCCCGAGTGCACT